ATGGAATTTCCAGAGCTTCCGGATGCACTGCGGAGCCTGCTGGCCTTTCGCATTTGGCGGCAGTCTCCCCTCACATTCGAGAGCGTTCGAGATGCGTTGCCGCTTTGACCGACGCGTGTGACGGTGTTTGATGTCCCGGACCCTCTGCCAGTCTGCAGCCTATTGAGCAGCATAATCCGCCCAGAAGTTGGCTTGCCAGACGGCTGTCGTGCCGAAGGCCAATACTGCTCGGCGATAGAGAGCGGGCTCCACGTTTAATGTCAGTTGCCAGCTGCCACATGGCGGCTGACTGCCACTGCACTTCCCCGCCAGGCTGCCGCGCACTGGAGCTGGTGCACCTGCACGTCCGACGTCTGCCGTGGGCGGCGCAGTGTGGACCGTGCGTGGCTCGACGACCGTGCGCCGTCCGCTGCATCCCCACCCCCTGTCCCACACGCCGACGCCAGCGTGCGGCCGTCGCTCGCGAGCCTGAGCTCGTGCGTTATCTGGGCCACGCAGCAGCGCCTGCACCTGCCGCTCGCCTACTCCGTGCAGCCGAGCCACCGGGGCCGTGACAACAGTGTGACAGTACCGGGACACAACGTCACCGCGGGCCGTGACAACAGTGTGACAGTACTGGGACACAACACGTCACCGCGGGCCGTGACAACAGTGTGACAGTACCGGGACACAACACGTCACCGCGGGCCGTGACAACAGTGTGACAGTACTGGGACACAACACGTCACCGCGGGCCGTGACAACAGTGTGACAGCACTGGGACACAACACGTCACCGCGGGCCCGCCGTCTGCACCATACGCTGCCAGTGGGCAGCATGGCAACTTTTCTATTGGTGGGAAATGCGCAATGACCGTCGCAACACAAATGGAGAACAGAATGAGGGCGCTTCGCCGGAAAAAGCGGAGATTCGTCTGGATATTTTCTGGCCGGATTAGTCGCTACGTGGCAAACAGCTGGGTAGCTAATAATAAGCTCAGATGTTACGCTAAGCTCAGAGGTAAGTAGTTTTAAACTTCAAACCCCAGAAACCATTCCCTTCTTTCACTTCATTCGAATGGCCGATCAAGACTTTCTGTAGATTGTTCATAGCCGTAGGACATTCTGTTGACTTGTTTGAAGCAACATCGATGGCAAAAATAAACTCTGTTACACAAGTTTCAACTGCGTCTTTGAATTCTTTGGCTGATCTCACAGGGCCACCTGTTTATTAGTCATTAGGCATGGCCAGGTATTTTTGCGATCCAAGATAAACCCGAGGCTATTGCTGGCGATCGTCACAGGGATCAAACAAGCCGAAAAAAATTCCGTAAAGTTGACCCGTATATATATATATATATGTATATTATATATATATATATATATATATATATATATATTAAAACATTTCATCATACTTGCGCGGGCGTTGCTATCATGCCGCGATATTTTTGTTGATTGGATGGCGTTTCAACCGTCGAGTAAAGGGCACAACCGGTGGTTGCTTGACACGGCATTGCTTTGTAAATCTCATGTGCACAGGAGGCAAGACAACGGTTTCCCATCTCAGTGCGGGTAATGTTGAGTAATGTGTCCGGAACGCACGCCCCCAATGCACGTCGCTGTAAGGCTAATAGCTGCTCGAGGCGTCGCGCGGAGGAAGAACCCGCCGCATGAATGTCAACGTGGCCGGAAACAGCCGGTGGTTAAACTGAAAATGAAGCCCAACTAGGCGGGCTGGAAATAGCAAGGTATTCAGTTTGATGCTCGTGCTGTTCGTGGACACTATGGAATGTGTAGGTTCTTCCTCTGACGTGCAGGCATGTTCATTAATGCCGACGGATCCCCCGTTGCTTACATTGTTTCGTTGCCTTGCGTGTGTGTGTGTGTGTGTGTGTGTGTGTGTGTGTGTGTGTGTGTGTGTGTGTGTGTGTGGGTGTGTGTGTGTGTGTGTGTGTGTGTGTGTGTGTGTGTGTGTGCGCGCGTGTGCGTGTGCGTAGTGCGTGTGCGTGTGCGTGGTGCGTGCGTGCGTGCGTGCGTGCGTGCGTGCGTGCGTGTGTGCGTGTGTGTGTGTGTGTGTGTGTGTGTGTGTGTGTGTGTGTGTGTGTGTGTGTGTGTGTGTGTGTGTGTGTGTGTGTGTGTGTGTGTGTGTGTGTGTGTGTGTGTGTGTGTGTGTTTGTGTTGCAGTCGCGATCCCATCCAATGCTTCTTCCTCAGCACTGAACACTAACCACCAGGTATATGTGCCCGTTATGAGACACTCACGTGTGGCTTGGAATGCAGCATGGTATCCGTGACAGCATGCGTCCCAGGCACCAGTCCCGTGCGCCAGCCATATGTCCCGTTGTCACGCTGGCGTTACGGCTCACAGACCGCGTCCATGTCTGCAGCACGTGGGCAGCTGGCGCCGGCGCCGCTGTCTGGCCCGTATCGCGCGCGCAGTCGGGCTGGCTGATTACAGCCATGCGTCTGAGCGTGTGCGTGAGAGGGTGGGAGGGTGTGTTTGTGTGTGTCCAGCTGCTGGCGGTGTCTGCCAGCTGCTGTCAGCGCCAAGACGGCTCGGCAGGAAGGGTACCCGGGCTGGTAACATGATGAAAGCCATGTGGTACCCCGCAGCCGAAACATTAATCAATACACCCGTCACAAATAGCCGCGTGGTATTAACTTTCAGGCGCAACGGTTTCCTGGCAGGCCCACTCGTGAATCGTTAATGCCGTCGATTCAGGCTGCAGGCAGGTCAAACGGCCCCGACTTCGACCGGCGTCGCACGCAGCGGCCGAATTGGAAGCTAAACTCCAACGAACTAGCGGCATCGACCCAGCCGGCCCGCAAAGCCCTCCCTCCCTTCTGCGCGCCCATAATAGAGTCCCACTTCCCAATTTATGAGAGCTGCCTGGCATTTAACAAAGGCCGGTCTTTTGGCGGCCAATGGTCAGGGCCCCACACAGCGCCGTGGCTTGCCCGGGCCGGAGCGGTGAGAGGGGAATGACTGCCCGGCAAGGTCAGCTTACGGACCGCCGCGATGAGCTGAGGCCGAACCACACCCTGACAAAGAGCCAAGGCACCAGGCAAAAGGGGTCCGGCAACTGCGGGAGATGTTCAAAGTTTCTAGGGATTGTGGGGCGACGTGGCTTCCGGGCTATTTTCTACCAACAGCTTGTGACAAATTATTTCATTCGATAACCTTATACAAGTGTGAAACCTCGACGTGGCTGGACTACTCAAGCGATTCGACAGGCTCCTGATGCTGTCAAGAAAACCGAGACTGCAATCAAACCAATACGAATCCATTCCCTATAGTTCTTTCACTCGCGTTCAGCCTACAATTTTATCATTAACTTCAGCATATTCAGCATGCGTGCAACGCCGTCGGGTCGCTGGGTGCTGCAGTGTGAGGAAGGGGAGGACGAGGTGTGGGGGTGGGTCGGTCGCATGGTCGATGCCACTGTGTGACTCCCCTCGCCATCGGCCCGGCGCCAGTCTGGCGGCACTCCTACGGCGCCGACCCGTCCCTTGGCGTGCACGGCGCTGCTTAACAGCTGCATCGACGCCCCTCCGCCGACCGGCCGGCCGGCAGGCGGGGGAGCTGCAGCCCCCCCCCCCCCCGCGGAGCCGTGCCAGCGGCAGGCCGCCCGTCTGATTCAGCACCGCCGGCGGTCGTGCTGCTCGGCAGGCCGCACGGCACGGGTGTCACGACACGGCACAGACTCCTCCGCCAGCCCTCGCGTGTGGCGCGAGCACAGCCGGCTCGAGCAGGTCGCCGAGGAGCCGGAGGACGGGGGCCGCTACGCCCAGACGTGCCGCCGGTGGCCGTCGCGTGCCGGAGGACGTGCTTGGCTGGGCAGGGGCGGTCAGCCAGGCCCTCAGGGACGCGCAGAACAAGGTGACTTTGGCACGGTCGCGCGGCTTTCCAAGTGACAGGCCCTATCAAAGTCACGTCTGCACTGGCGAGCAGCACCATTTTCGTGAGCGGGATGCCGGACTTCAGGCAGGCCCCGCAGATCGAGAGACCGAGATCTCATCGGGCCTGTCTAAGCAGCAGTAGCTACTCTCGTCATGCTTGTACTGAATGCGGCCGGGGTCCTCCTGACATTGCGTTTTCCTTTGGTACGCTATGAGAGAGCAATGTGAGACTAGGCGACCTCCGGGTCCTTATTTTCTTTTTTCTTCAAGCACGTTAGGGCCCTCGAGTCGTACTGTTCTTATACGCGCCTCCGATATTCACTGATCGGCGTAGAACCCGTCCGACTATTTCTGGGCCTCGATCATCTGGTGCCACTGCAGTTTGTCAGCGCCGGCCGTCCCAGCATGCTGCTTGTCCTGGGTACTGAATCTTGGGCTTGCTCGGGACGCCTCGAGAAAGTAAGGCATTCTTTTCCCGCATGTATATGGGGGTGAGATCAAATGGGACAATTCAGTCCCGTCATTCACTAATATCAGCGCCAACAAGGGTGTTCATTGAGAAGCGAGACCATGGGACTGATCTGTGGCTGCAAACTCGGTGCTTCATCGGGATGACACGAGACACCACATTACACAACTCAAAATGACTTGGCATCGATCCATCCCAGATGGGCACTTGGCAGCTACCAGAGCTGCTGTTGGTGCTTAGAGCAACTGAAAGAGAACCAGAGCTGCTGTTGTGTGTGTGTGCGTGTGTGCATCGTCGGTCGCCGCAGGCGTCGGAGGGCGGCGATATTCGGAGAAATTATGACTATCGCTTAGACGATCGCAAACCGCCGGTAAACTAGTAAGACATATTCGGTATGGCAGGGAGGGAGCCAGTCCCCTCGTCACTTCTCCAGTGCACCTCAGCACGAAACCACACAAAGCGAATCCTTGACCGCGGACGACAGAATCCTACCACGTTGCTTGCTAAGACGTGCTGGTAGTTGTGCAATAGTGCTCAAAATTTAAAAAAGTGCAGTAGTGCTCAAAATTCTGCAAATCCGCGCGCTATGGCATTTGCGACGAAAAAGGCAGTCTCAGTGAAAGTCCAGCCTTGTCGTGAAGCCATCTCACCTTTTGCCAGGGGAGCTCTCCGTCCACGGATCCTTTTCTTCCTGTCTCAGTTCTGGAAGGACAAACATGTCTCGGTTGGCAACATCCGCCTCGAGCTCACTCGCGAGCCGCGCGCTCTGCAGCGCAAGCCCCGCGGCCCCGCCCGAGTTTGTCTTCCACTCGGAGCCGTGCCGGGGCCGCCGGCGTAACTGATGGCCGACGCCGACGGCAGGCACCACCAGGCTGCTGCTGCCGCGTCTGATGCCGGCAGTTAGTGTCGAGAGCACGCGGCTGCTATAACTGAAGCAGCGCGACCGAGACGGCCGAGGAGATCGTGACACGGGACTGGGTGGAACAGGCGGCACGAGGCAGGGATGGGGGACAGAAACTCGCAGGACAGGCGACGGACAACCCTGAGCCATGCAGGAAAACATCGACAGAAACACGTTTACTTCGTGCCGAGGAGCAAATATCTGTCCACCAACACTAACTGAGCACCATCTAGTACAGAACGTGGGACTGCACCACTGCGTGCCTCGGGGTAATCTGACGTACAAAATAGCATGTGCTGGCGTCAGAGCCTCATTAGCGCAGACACTGGACCTCATAGGACGGTGAGGCATGTACTGTTACTGTGGCAGCTCATACTGCGCAGTCCATGATGCCCTACTACTGCACCCAACGAGCGCGGGGATTGTAACGGGTGTGTGTATAGGGGGGGGGGGGGGGGGCACTGTCAAACACGGCAGACTTGTTTCGACAACGGTAACGGATCAAAATTAAAACCGATCTGTCTGTGTTTCAGATAAATCCGGCCATTTAGCACAGTAGGTAATAGCTGTATGAAACCTAGCCGTGAAGCTCTGTGATCGGTGCTTTCTCTCCGACGTGGCGATTCCCTGCCACCCAAGACGGATTGCAGGAAAGTCCGGTTAAACGTCTAGTTCATCGTCATGGTGCAAGACACAGGCCTGGCCACGATGGTCACCATGACCGGCTACATAGCTCTTTGTCGCCCGGTGATCAGGTGCTTAAGGATAATGCGGCAGCTGTGTTTCACCAAGCCAGTTTTAATAGTAAGAGAGACAAGAGGCGCGACACTCGGCCAATTCGTGTCACGTCCGGGGGTCGCACGAAGATACAGACGAGGAGGGAGAATATCAGACACAACCGGCGGTAAAGCACAATACCTTCCGGCAGTACTGATGACCTGATGGCGGGCATAGGGACTCGGGAAGACAAGAGGGGGAACCACTGGCCTTACAAGTAAAAGGCCGGATCACGAAACCACCGCCTTAAAAGCAGGGTTACGAGATAACAGTCTCTAGCGTGATGAGATGACATGGTACACTGTAACTTAGATCGCGTTTTCGTCTAACAACACGGTATGGCACTGCAAAGATCCGGAAGGAGAAGCACGGAACATTTCGCTCTTGGTCCGCCATGTGATCTGAAGCTAAGGGTGCCGCCAACATACAAGAACGTAGTGGATTGCTTGCAATAAGTTAAGTCTGAGAGAAGTATGCATATGGGGACCGAGAGGAGCAATACCAGGTTAGATCGGTGGAGGAAACACCCAATTTTTACGGCAGCATTTCTGTGACTATCAAATGCAGACTGAGTTAACATGGTGTAATGCTGCTCGTGCTAGGTTTCAGTGAAACGGCGTGGTACGGCACCGTGGTGACCTGGGAGAGGAGCACCGATAATTTCGCTCTTGGCCGTGAGGGCGGCCAAAACACTCATATGAAAAACATTCGGCAAAGCTGTTTTCCGATTTTCCTAAACCTTTCCAAAAACGTGAAGTACGCAATTTTTGAGAAAATAAAAATTTTGCAAGTTGATCAAACTTTAAATCTTTCGAAACACGATGAGAATGGTACGTGTTGACCTGCTGATCGTGAACAAAACACCACATAGAGATGGTGCCAGTGTAGAACATTACAGGTTTGTTTGTCGTTTGAATGTTTTTCAACAGCACCAACATTTCTCATTTTGGGTCAACTGTTGAATTGCCAGGATTAGGTCAAAGGTCAGATATTTGCCCATTTCGTAACTTCATGTATGTGTTCCTTTCAGTGTCCTAGGCATCCTATCTATCAATCCACAAGGTACTAAAATGGACTCCTCACTCAATCGCAATCAGTTGACATCCAATACGATGCAAATCGATGCTAAGTTCACAGCCCAGGTTATGATAAACGGCCATATCTACTTTTTTACTTGCACAGCTGAAATCAAGAAGTTCGTAATTCTGGGGCAGCATGGGGTAAAATGAGCGCCGATTTCGGATCCACTGCCAGCAATGGGCATAATTCCTTGCTGAACTCAAACATTCAAACCCCACGATGCACAGGTCGCGCACCAGGTCAAGTCAGCGTGTTGCCCCTATTTTGTAAACTCTCAAATAGGCCTCAAATTGCTAAACTTAGGTAGTCCGGACTGGACCTTGGAATCGAAGACAGTTGCAAAATTACTCCAGTACTAAAAGTGGCAACCGAAAAAATCTCCGAGGGTCATGCGCGTTCAGCTGAGGTCCATGACGCAAACAAGTTCGATTTCCTGTCGGCATTCATGCCTTTTCAGGAACTTAGATTCATCAATTCATGAGTTCTCATCATACAGGCCTTGATGAACGGTAAGGCCATCCTTCATTCTAATGTGAGTCATTGGGGACATAAACGACATTGCGAGACTGCGTCGACATACAACCAATAAACGTCGACGCACGAGCCACGCGTAGCACATATGATAGTGTGGCATTTCCATTTTCTGAGTTCCTCGCTCAGCCAAGCTGCGTTCAAATCGACGGGAGGGTGAAAGCGCGCATTTGGGGCCCTATGCGGTCCTATACGCTTGTTTCTCCATCGACGTGAAAAGCCGTGGCATTCTCAATCTGGAGGAAGCTGGTTTCTCGGTGGTTCGTAACTTTGTCACATGGCAGATAGCTCTCCAATCGTCAGCTTCCTTGTGAAACAAATTATGCTTCCATGTGTATCATGCAGACTTGCGCCTGGTTCCCAAGATTTTCCTGTGCTGTGACCCTGAGGAGGATAGATATATGTATATGTATATGCATGTATGTATATGTATATGCTAGATAGATAATATATATATATATATATATATAATATATATATATATATCTCTCTCTCTCTCTCTCTCTCTCTCTCTCTCTCTCTCTCTCTCTCTCTCTCTCTCTCTCTCTCTCTCTCTCTCTCTCTCTCTCTCCTCTCTCTCTCTCTCTCTCTCTCTCTCTCTCTCTCTCTCTCTCTCTCTCTCTTCTCCTCTCTCTCTCTCTCTCTCTCTCTCTCTCTCTCTCTCTCTCTCTCTCTCTCTCTCTCTCTCTCTCTCCTCTCTCTCTCTCTCTCTCTCTCTCTCTCTCTCTCTCTCTCTCTCTCTCTCTCTCTCTCTCTCTCTCTCCTCTCTCTCTCTCCTCTCTCTCTCTCTCTCTCTCTCTCTCTTCTCTCTCTCTCTCTCTCTCTCTTCTCTCCTCTCTCTCTCTCTCTCTTCTCTCTCTCTCTCTCTCTCTCTCTCTCTCTCTCTCTCTCGCTCTCTCTCTTCTCTCTCTCTCTCTCTCTCTCTCTCTCTCTCCTCTCTCTCTCTATCTCTCTTTCTATCTCTCTCCTCTCTCTCTATCTCTCTCTCTCTATCTATCTATATATATATATATATATATATATATATATATATATATATATGCATATACATATACATACATGCATATACATATACATACCAGAGCTTGATATTTGATTTTGCAATCTGCATGAGTCATGCGTCAAGTGCTCCACTGTAAATATGGTCTGAACTTAGTCAAATGAAAAATGGAACAGCTGAGTCACGAGCTGAGTCAGATTCCACAATCTGTGAGCCAGTCCGGAGCTGGTTCAAGACATTCGAGTCAAGCCCAAGTCTGATGCTAACCGCATCTCGAGACTAGTATCCCATTACTTGCAGTACCCGGGTGACATATATTTTCCAATGCCCTGCAGTCCAGGATATATCATTATCATACTCAGCCGGTAGATAACACTCTTCTGTAAATTATACGCGAGAGTTTCTCCAGGCACGCTTCCCAATCACTTCCATCACCCCCCCCCCCCTCCCCCCACTCACTACCAGGCGACCGACCTCGCCGCGCACTAGGAGCAGCTCGCATTCAAATGGGAATTGAGATCCCAAAATGGTGAAGGTTTTCTACTCCCATCGAAAGAAAAGAAATTCATGCCGTCCACCTCTACACAGCCTCATTTCCTCTGGTCAGCCTTGGGTTACTGGGCAGCTCTGTTTAGTATCCATACGTACTAAACCCCGCCACTTTTAGTACGGATCGGTACTAAACACCGTTTTTCCTCTTAGCAAGAATACGTACTAAATATTCTCGAGAATGTGTTGACGTGGAACGGCGACGCACTGCCAGTGTGCGGTCGGTGTGAAATGGGAAATCTGCGGTAAAGGGAGGTAACTATTGAGTCGTAACTGTTCTTCCTGAAAAACTGCGAGAACCAGGAACCGGGCTGGATGTTACCGGGGCCTGTGGTTGTGTCAAAAGTTCTTGGAACCAGGGCCCGGCATTAGCAGGCAAAGGAGCTAAAGAATGTAAGTCAGCTCTGGCTCAGCCATAGGTACTTATAACATGGATTACCAAGAAGCAAGCAAGTTGCTTGGCTGATAGGTGACCATACACCAGAAAACCATCCCAATACCACAGGTTACCATCAAAGCTCAGCAATAATTTTTTACACATGTCCAGCCCACCTGCGGACCAAAGCTAGTCCCACATTGATACTGTTTCATCATGCACATAATGAATCTATACATGCCTGAGCTTTGTGCTCAGGCTTCTGGAAAAGCTGCATTGTTGTTACAGAGTCAGGGCATGCTGTTTATTTTGACTTGCCTGTGATGTACTGATCTGCTTTTTAGGGTAAAGTATTTGGGATGTGTAGGGTGACCTTTTTAGGTCAATTTTTCCAAGGTCTCAAGACTCATAGTACTCCATATTTTGACCTCAGGAGTCTAGTGTTGGTAAAACGACTAGTGTGAACTGTGAGATACGGTGTTATGTATTAATGGCATGTTGTGATTTCTGTCGCTTGCCAGAGAACTTATGGGAACCTAAGGCTGGGATTGACGGAAGAACAAGGGAGACCAGGAGCTGAAGCCAGTGCTTACAAAATAATTAATGGGAACCAAGATGCAGGTCTTGTGTTGTTGAAAGAAACAGTGGGAACCAAGATCCGGGGTTTCGTTTTATATAAGAACCAATAGGAACCAGGATGCAGCATAATGCTTTATCAAAAGATCCATTGGGATCCAGGGTCCAGGGTATTGTTTTGTCGAAAGAACCAGTAAGAACCAGGATTCAGGGTCTTGTTTCATTGAAAGTACTAGTGAGAACCAAGATCCAGGGTCTTGTTTTGTTGAAAGAACCAGCGGGAACCAAGGACGAGGGTTTTACTTTACTGAAAGATCCAGCGGGAACCAGGATCCAGGGTCTTGATTAATCAAAGGAACCGGTGGGAACCAAGATCCAGCATCTTGTTTTGTCGAAAGAACCAGTGGGAACCAGGATCCAGGGTCTTGTGTTGTCGAAAGAACCTATGAGAACCAGGATCCAGCATCTTGTTTTGTCGAAAGAACCAGTGGGAACCAGGAACCAATGCTGGGAACCAGGCACATGTCTGGTATCATGGCTCCTACCTCGGCATTCTTGTCTTGCACCTCGATGCCGCCTTGCACGTTATTCATGATCCCCATAAATCATGCTCCAACAAATGCTCCCCTGGCAACTCGTCGAAGTCTGTGTGATGATAACACATGGAATGACGAACGTAAAGCGCACTAAAAAGGGCACATATTTTGACGTGAAATCGACCTTGCGTGGTCCTTGACCTCAGTTGACCGCAGGTGACTTCTTAAGACGTCCTATTTCAATGTTACTATGAAGTAATTTTGGTAGATAAATTCGATTTCATGGGCTATTCCGGACCACCCAAATTTGGAACTCTTTTAACAGGCTGTGCAAGATAGAGATAAAATGCTGACCTGACCCGACCTGGCTCGTGACCGGTGAATCAGGTGTTCTTGGATGTTCAAGTCCTTCAGAAGTAATGGCTGAAAATAATCCGAATCGAGTGCTCACTTTTACCCCGTGCAGCCCCAAATTTCGAAGTTAAAAGTTTCGATCAAGAGCAAAAGTATGGATAACAGCTGAACTTGGCCTGACCCGTGACGTCAGCACCAATGTGCATTGGGTTTGATGACAGTTGCTCTGTAATTGACTGAAAGGTCTATTTCAATATCTTGTGGATTGATGTAAAAACATGTTCGGGCTACTGGAATGAAAACATAATGAAGTTGCCAAGAGCTAGTAAGAAATATGATCTCTGACTTTACTTAGAAAGTCAACGGTTGACCGAATCTGCGAAATGTTGGTGCCGTTGGAAGTTATCGTTACCTTTAACGTTCTGCGGTAATGTGGTCGCTCTACGGTGCTTTGTTTACGATCAACAGGATAATATATATATATATATATATATATATATATATATATATATATATATATATATATATATTGCTTCAACATTTTCCTTCGAAAAATGGGAAACTGTGATGACCACGAAGACGAACCGTTTTTGTTGCTCCATAATGGCAATGCTGTCTTCGTGAACTATGGGGATGTCATAGACATCAGCACCCAATTTCTTGCACCCCAACGTTGAAAACAGACATTCTTGCACGAAATATGAGCGGTGACTGTCAAGCATTGCACTTTTGCTTCCAGGGCGTGTTTCACATTTGTATTGTGTCTTGAAATGACGTATCTGTCTTGAAAATCATCCGGTACAGTTTACAGTCCCTCCTTTCTTAAAACCTAAACCCCTCTAGTTTACGGGCTACACACCCACGAAGAAGTGCAGACTTTTTCGAGGAGACTATTTCAAGGTTACCCAGGCATCCATGACGCCATACTAACGCCATTCAAATCTTACCGTTTCACTGGCCATGCGACAATCAAGGCCAAGAAAAACATAATTGTCGAGTCGTTCATATCCGGCGTTCGTGAGCACAGTTCTCAGATATAACGGACGTCAATAAGTTCTTAATCAATGTTGTTCAAGGTACGATGACGCAATCAAACTATAACGTATTGAAGAGAACATTGACGTAAGAGAAAAACTGTATTACAGTGAGCAGCGTTTTCCACTTCAAGTATACCAATAGCTTGAAGAGAGCTGATTTCACCATAACTGATGCTTACTTTGATATCCTCAAACGTAGAGCATTTTCTTCAACGGTAGGAATCTCCACATTTTCAATCCCGAGGTGCCAGTATCGTAGATCGTACAATAAGATGTCATTAATTAAAAGCATAAATCAAAAATGGGTGGAAAAATCATTTTAAAGGAAGTTTCACTCTTTGGTAATATTCAGAACCAGGGCATGATGGTGCAGCAGATAGGGCTTATTGAGCGTGACTTACAACAACAAGCTCAGTCGCGCCCATTGCCGAGGTCACTGACGGTCCTCATGTCCGAGGCCTCCTGTTCCGTCTGATCATTGACATGCAGCATCTAGCCGTGTAAGCTTCTTTCATGATATCTGATGCGGGCCTCAGTACCTTAAAATATGGGGCATTCCCTTCAACGCAATTCGTGTCGCCAACGGCATAATAACGACGGGCACTTTGGGCGTTGGCAAACGGCTCCGCGATAGCGATTCTTCACCGTTGTCGAAACGGGACCATGAAGGAGGCACGGACCATTGCCTTTTGCTCGAGATGGCAAACGAACGACCTATCAGTTGGTATAGAAATCAGTGACAGCGTCAAATAAACCTGCACGTGCTGCCCACATGTTGAACGCCACATCCGCAAAGGCCTCCCGCGGCGTAGAGAGTAAAACGCCTTCAGGCTGTACGACTAAAAAGGCTGACCGTTTACATGCTGTCAGATGCAATTTGTTTCGATTGCTAGAAGGACTGGTTGCAGGTTACCGATCATGGTGGAGTGATAATCGTTAAAATGAGTAATGAGTACATAGTATTTCTGAGCGAGAGAAGCACTGACTGGAAATAAGGCGAATAACTTCATCCCAAGGCCGCACAGAACGGACAGATAGGAGTTGTTATGAATGTCAAGATGACTCCGACACGATGTTGGCTTTGTCTTGAAAAATTCACATAGGAAAAGTAGAAGGGGTGTGCTTTATCATTTCCGTAATATTTTTTCAATCACCTAGCCCATCACATGCTCGTCGTAACACGCCGGGATTTCAATGTAACATTCTTGTAACACACCCAATGTATCCACACCTTCACAGACAGGCATTGGCACTTGCGTGGTGATGGACGTGAGGAGCAGAGCCGCCTCCCGACAAATAGTCTGAATAGTCAGGCAGTTAGCCCCATCCCTCATTAGTACCCAACGTTCGCCGACAGAGCCCGGTCCTCCGCCAGTCCGGATCCGGCCTTCGGTCCCACCGCCCGCCGTCCTTTGCCTGGCCAGCCCGTGGCCACCGACCTCCGGTCCCACCGCCGCCTCCTGCCAGGCCCACCCGTGGCCACCGACCTCCGGTTCACCGCCCGCCGTCCTTTGCCAGGCCCGCCCTTGGACCACCGACCTCCGGTCCACCGCCGCCTCCTGCCAGGCCCTCCCGTGGCCACCGACCTCCGGTCCCACCGCCGCCTCCTGCCAGGCCCGCCCCTCGGCCACTGACCTCCGGTCCCACCGCCCGCCGTCCCTTGCCTGCCCAGCCCTTGGCCACCGACCTCCGGTCCCACCGCCGCCTCCTGCCAGGGCCTCCCGTGGCCACCGACCTCCGGTCCCACCGCCGCCTCCCGCCAGGCCCGCCCTTGGCCACCGACCTCCGGTCCACCGCCGCCCCCTTCGCGGCCCGCCCGTGGCCGGCTGTGGGCTACTCACTGTAGATCTTCTCGCTGCGCCGCTTCATGGCACGGCACCGCCAGGCGACCAGGGCCAGGGCCGAGACCAGGAGCAGGAGACCGGCCGCCGCGCCGCCCACTATCAGAGCCACAGCACCTTCGGCCGACCCCGGCCGCCAGCTGAGAGACGCCTGCCGGCAGGAGAAGATATGGTGTGACCGGTCGCCAGACGCCTGCCAGCGGGGGAGATATGGTGTGACCGGTCACCAGACGCCTGCCAGCGGGGGAGATATGGTGTGACCGGTCACCAGACGCCTGCCGGCGGGGGAGATATGGTGTGACCGATCACCAGACGCCTGCCAGCGGGGGAGCTATGGTGTGACCGATCACCAGACGCCTGCCAGCGGGGGAGCTATGGTGTGACCGATCACCAGACGCCTGCCAGCGGGGGAGCTATGGTGTGACCGATCACCAGACGCCTGCCGGCGGGGGAGATATGGTGTGACCGGTCACCAGACGCCTGCCAGCGGGTGGGTGGGGATGGGGAAGGTCTATGGTGCGACCGGCCGCCGAGCCACACGGCGCAGAATACGCCGTTCGTGCATCAATTGCCCACAAATATCAATCATCAAGTGCCAGTGTGACAGATCCCACAGTCCACACACAGGTCACAATCAGTTGGTGCATGGTTCACAGGTCATCGACATCGCATACCGGAATCTGACACGGTGCACGGTCAGCACGCAGAGGAAACGCCAGTGCCAAACGGTCCGTGGTCGACGTAAAAGTCACAGGTCCAGGTTACATATCAGTGTGACACACGGTCTGCAGGTGGCACAAAGGTCACACAGCAGGATCCTGCGGATCACAGATGATACGCAGGCTGTTGGCAAATGTAACGCAGCCCAAAGGCCATACCCCATTACTGGCCCCATGACCGTGATTCCATTACTCAGGGCGACGCGGTTCACAGGTCGGACAGGTCGAACACAGGTCACACGGGTTATACATCAATGTGACACGGTCTGTGGACAAAAATCTGTTGACAAAGTCCACAGGTCACACAAGAATAACACATCAGTGTGAATGGGTCAGCAAGTCCCACAAAAACCACATACGCGTGAAGGAATGTCGCAAAAAAGTGGGGTTGCTAGAGACCAAGTCAAAGTCGATTTTTCCCATGCGTTGCCATAGGTATACTTTTCATTATCCTCGGGCAGCGGGGCTGCCATGGTACCCACGGACCTCCGTTCCTACTCCCATGCGCATTCCAGTATGATATCGCTCACGGACAATACAAAACCAATGTGGCACGGCTCACAGCCCACTTGCAGGTCACGCACCAGGATAACACGGTCCACAGTCTGCACAGGTCACGCGTCGTCCGGCCGGGGCACCGCACGCCGCGTCAGCTGTTAGCTGGCCGGGTGGGCGGCGTGCGCGCGCCGCTGCAGGCCGGGACCGCCGCCTGACCTGCGCCGCGGCCGCCGCCGGTGCCCCGCCCACCGCCGCTGCACCTCGCACGCACAGGCTCACACCAGCAGCCGGACCAGCACAGCGGTGGGGCTGACCTGGCCGGCGGGACGGCCGCCGCGGTCCGGCAGATGGACACGCAGACAGTGGTGATGCCGGCGGCGGCGGCGGCGCCGAATCAATAGTCGGCCCGGGGCGGGCGGCCCGGCCGCGCGCTGCCAGCGCGTATATATAGCGGCGTGGCGCCGCTGCAACCGGCAGCCTTCCGCCTTGCTGTCGCGGTCACACGCCATTTAGGTGGGGGGACTGGACGGCGGGTCCGGTGGTGGGAGCTGCACTCTGTTGCCAGCCGTCAGCACCTTTGATCGGACATCCATCAAGCGCTGCTCCGTCGTTGACATATCAGCGAGTAGGGATGATCAGCGATATCTCTCAGGCAGTGCGCGAAGCATGATGGGATGCACGAAAGTCCGCGCTTTAATCGTGTATGTTAACGGCTCCGCCTTTCGCCTGGCGTGAGGCGGCTCTCATTCCTCGACCTCCCTTTCCCTACTCACGCCTTTGTTCGGCCAATCGTGCCGAACTGCGCTTGGAAGAAGGGTTTCTGTCATCCACGCGACGATTGTCTGACCGTCCTTTTCTAATTCAACGCCTGGAAAAAGTTTTTCCTCGAGGCACTGGTTTGCCATAAATTGGAGCGTATATCGGTAAGGTGCTTTGGAGCCCACATAGCTGAAGATGGTCGCCGTCTTTATACATTAAGCTTTTCGTGCAGGAGTTTCCTGTGCAAGTTTTACCCGTTGATTGGCTTTGTTCCCTTTTCAGTTGTCGGCAGCAAGACTGCTTCGGGACGATGTCATTGTCTGTCTACACAGGCCGATGGCCATCACATTGTTTGCACAGGCCCATGGTCAACACATCATATGTCTTCACAGGCCGATGGCCAACACATTGTCTGCACAGGCCCGTGGCCAACACATCGTATGTCTTCACAGGCCGATGGCCAACACATTGTCTGCACGGGCCAATGGTCAACACATCGTATGTCTTCACGGGCCGACGGCCAACACATCGTCTGCACGGGCCAATGGTCAACACATCGTATGTCTTCACAGGCCGATGGCCAACACATTGTCTGCACGAGCCAATGGTCAACACACCGTATGTCTTCACAGGCCGACGGCCAACACATTGTCTGCACGGGCCAATGATGGCCGATGGCCGACACATTGTCTGCATGGGCCAACGGTCAACACATCGTATGTCTTCACAGGCCGATGGCCAACACATTGTCTGCACGGGCCAATGGTCAACACATCGTATGTCGTCACAGGCCGATGGCCAACACATTGTCTGCACAGGCCCGTGGCCAACACATCGTATGTCGTCACAGGCCAATGGCCAACACATTGTCTGCACAGGCCTATGGTCAACACGTCGTATGTCTTCACAGGCCGACGGCCAACACATTGCAACAGTGGAACGCCGGGGCAAAGGGGTAATTTGCTCACTCGTCGTGTCAGCTTGTAACCCACGCCAAACTTCACCGCTGGTATTCTTCTCAATGTTTGCATTGTTAAATTCCGTAAAGTTGCCTTGGCCTGCCGTAGGCACCCCTGTCATTTTAGTCATCATTACCCTATATGCTCGCGTGTGCGTTGCCTGTGCCTGCTGCACACCTGCGGCACAGCACCGCTGCCGGAAACAGATCCAACCGGACGACTGCCATTTGATCTGCACGGTACGGATTGGGGCGACGTCTTTCACTCTCAGGCCACACTAGGAAAATGACGAGATCTTTCCAGGTAGCTCATGGGCCGCTGTTGCGGTGCCTTGCGAGACCTGGAGGGGGAGGGGGGGGGGGGTTCACCCGAGCACCGCCAGCGTCACCGACATGTCCGGTCTGTCATCCGCCGTTATGTCCGGTCTGTCATCCGCCGATATGTCCGGTCTGTCATCCGCCGTTACACATGTGTCGGTGCCCGGGCTCGGATTGCTGAGCGGCGGGCGGGACACAGTCGGGCCGAACAGGCAGAGCTTTTCGGTGGCGAACGGCAGGGTGAGAGAGTTATGCCCAAGCTGTCAGGTGAGCAGCTCAACGATTGCTTTGTGTTCGTTGGCTCAAAGGTGGCAGGTGAAGTCATTTGCCATGACGCGGTTTCCGATGTTGACCGCCGCCTCACAGGGATCGACGCTTGCGGCTTTTCGATTTCACCAGTCCACATCGATACATCAGTATGCATGTTCCTCAGTATGCTTGACTCATCTGCCTGTCGGTCCGATGACATCTCTTTCCGAGCCTTGCATGCCAGTTTCACTGCTCTTGGTGAAGTCATCCTGCACCGAATCAACACCTGCCTGAACCACTTAGATTCTAGCGCTCCTTGGAAATCTTCCTTTATTCATCCGGTACCGAAATCCGGCGGTCCATTTGACCCATCTAACTTCCGTCCAATATAACTATCATGCCCATAATTTCCAAAGTGGCAAAGATGATCGTCCAGCAGTACCTCTGTCACCAGCTCTGTTTTAAAAGTATCATTTCGTCCAGCCAGCGCGGTTTCCGTTCGCATTGCACAACGAAACTCGCTCTGGTGACCATCGCCAAGCGCGTCCTCGCGGCCAGCGATAAGCGAGGAGAAAAAGCGAAGGCAAAAAGCGAGAGTGGAAATTCCGCTTTTATCTTAAATAGGCATCCGCAAATGCTTTGTTATCATTCACCATGGTATTCGTAATGAAAATGGTACCTGCACGGGGCTGATACTCGCTGGTTTGCTGCCTATCTCCATAGCCACGACAGGGCGTGTCTCTGAGCATTTGGGCGTGGTGCGGCTCCCGCGACTACTCCCGAACGGCACGGTGGTGCTTCAAGGCTCGCACTTGGGACCTTTGCTGTTTGGCGTATTTGCTGATGATCCGGCGCTTTAATTCGCAGGCGCCCAAGTGGACACCCAAGTGGTTTCTTTGGGAGAAAAAAGTTATCAAGTCCCACAGTTCGATTGTAAGAATGAAAAATTTACTTCCCTCTCCGGACGAATGGTCAGTGCGAACGCCCTCAAAATTACCGTTAGTAAAACTAAGTTCCGTGCATTTTGGCAATCGTCCGAGTTCGCTCAGCCTTCCAAAACTTAGTCATATTTCGCTTCCATCCAAAATGGCTCTCGAAACCTGCAACGAGGTCGAAAACCTGAACATCAGTTTCGATGAGAACTCTCGAATGAAAATTTCGATTAAAATTTCGGAGCCAGGGCTGTTCTCGGCAGCATAAAACTCGACCGCATCTCTAATCTGCAAGAGAAACTGATTGCCAGCCCAGCACCTCACTAGTTTTTGCACAGTGAGCCTGACTCATAAGATCCTCGAGAGCTGGGAGCCCAAATTGTTAGCGACTGTCTTTCGTTTAAACAGGATAAACGTAATAAAACGTCATGCGCGAACGTAATACCAGACAGAACGGTCTGATGCGCGTCCCGCCATCCAAAGCTGAGGCTGGTAAGAGGTACAGTAGCTCGGGAGCGGCGGCGTCCTGCAACTGGGTACCAACCGGCTTACCCGGCAGAAGCACCGACATCTCCATACCTCATTTGAACACTGGATGATGACCTCGCGCCCCAATACCATTGGTCACGCGTAATGCACGGCCCCCCTACGAGCGACGTTCGCTGTTTTTATTGCGTGTGCGTGCGT